CTTTTTCGAAAGGCCGCTGTGATGCAATTATGCAAATGAAGCACAGGATATTTAAATCCCCGCTTTATTTGTGCTTTCGATTTGCCTAATTTACAGCCCTCTTTTGACAGAGGGATGTAATTTAGACATACCCTTAATGAAAAAAAAAAGAAATTTAAAATGGTTTCAAAATTAAAAATGAAAATATGTGATCTGAAAATGGGTTCCTTTGATCTTGCTGGAACGTTGCTTGCTTTATTTGAAATAAAATGAAATTCCAAAGCAAGCACCTTGAGTTCCTGAAGCGTGTCAGTTTCAATTGGCCCTGCAGATTCCAGCAGAACATAGTTCTAGTGAAAATTCTCCAACCTGTTCTAGGTCCCACCCCTAATTTGGATACATGTATAGCTTATTCCCTTTCCCAACAATAGGACTGTCCATTGCTTTAACTGTATAGGTCAACTTTAATGTGTCAACTCGACCTTATGTACACAATACCTATTGATTTTTAATGGGAAGTGGGCCCCTGTCTCGCCCACCTCTAGGTTTACAAAATACAAAAAGGAATCTCAGTTCATCAGGGTTACCATGCAGTCCATAAAAATGTTGTTTATCTAAAATATCTGCATATAACTATTTTAATATTGCTATTCTACACTCTCTCCCTCTGTGTGCCTGTACAGATGAATTTAATAAATGGAGTAAACAAGCCTGAGGTCATCACTAGTTATAATAATTATTACTATATAGTAAAATGCATATAAGCAATATCAAATAGGCAAATTTAGGCACTTTTGAAAATGTTACCCCAAAACTAATTTTCAAAGCCCCACGGACGGTTCATGAAATGTAAACTAACATTTTCAAATATGCCTCCATGACTTAAGGACCTACATTCTAATTTCAAAAGTTACTAAAAGTCTTAGGGAAAATCAAATCTTTTCGAAAACTAGGGCTTCAGGGAAAACTTTCAACTATGCTTTTCTCTTTTCAAAGACAATAAACAAATCTTAAATCAACAGCTAGTGATGGTCTAAAACAGTGTTTCTTAAACTGTGTTCCACGGCACACTGGCGTGCTGCAAGGCAGTTGGAGGTGTGCCACGGAAAACAACAGAGTTCAAAATGGCCACACTTAAAGGGGCAAGCGACTTTTTTTTCCCCCAATAACTTCCTCCCTGACCCCCCAACCCCTTTTTTTTTTTGCTCAACAAAAAATCCTTGGGTGTTTCTCATAAAAAAATATTGTTTGGTGTTCCTCGGTCTTGAAAAGTTTAAGAAACACTCGTCTAAACATGCACATAGAGGGTACCTGCTATTAAATCCTTTCCCACTTTCAGAGGCTTTCTTAAAGCATAATATAAACATGATCTGAACCTTGTTCCTGAATACATTTTTCCTAAAATCAGAAATATGGGTAAATTAAACCTTATGAACAGGAATACAGGGACCAGAGCTGGCTCTTCCCATGGTCACTTATCACAGCTGTAGTGACTTTACAGCTTTTAAAATGATCATATTTATGTTTTAAATTGAAAGCCTTAAATTGCTCTTTTGTGGTAGAAGGGCCATCACTGGGGGGAAAATGAAGCACCCACTGCTTCACAGGAATGCTAAAGGCTGCTGCTTTTTCCTCTATATCCTCTTCAGGTGCTGTCCTCTCCTCTCTGTTCCCATTGCAAGCTCTCTGACATGCTCTGCTGATTCCCTGTTTCAGCAATTGTAACCTCCTCCCTCTCTCCTTAAGTCTGTCCAAAAGACTGCTGTTAAGCTCATCTTTTTCCTTCATCCTGGCTGTGTTTTTCTCTGATTCCTTACATTCACCACTGGTTTCCCAACTATATTTATCTCACCTTTCCATTTAATACAGTCAGCAACGCTTCAGCACGTCTACAGCCTGGACCCCATTTCTCTGACAAACTGTACTGCTTCATATACTCAGCCCAAGCTTTTTCTAATTGCTTCATTTGTTTTATGCATCCAGTTCCTGTTGTGTCATGTCATTCATGCCTCCTCCTTTATTGAACTAAACCCCCACTCTCACCTCATTCAAACCTTGCTGAAGCCCTAACTTTTGCAAGCAAAGCTTGCTACTTGGCACTTGTGCTGTGCTCCTCTGAGCCTCTAGCATGTGAGTTCAATGGGTTGGGATTTTGTTTTCTTGATGTTTTTATTTTTGCTAGTAATCATCCTGAGCCATGAAGTTTGGAACTGTGTGTGGCATTAGTTCAACCCATTGAAAAGACAGCCTCAGCTGGCAAGTTCAAACTTTGATCCAGACTTCCCCAAAGTTTGGAGGTGTGGGGGTAGGATTTTGTTTTGAGACCATTTTTTTCCTTACTCATGTAATTTGGGTGTCTGTGTATGGATGTATATTCTCCACATAGCATCATATAAATATAAATTAGACCAAACCCTGACCCTGACTTATGTCAAACACATTGAAATCTGTGGTCCAAGTTCTGGAGTCCTTATTCACTTTTTTATTGAGTGTGTCCTTATGTTTAGATGGATAACTCCCTCTACATGTAGTGAACAGGGAGCTAATATTTAAGATGGGCTGTTGTGTAGCTTAATGTTTGTAAAATGCTTTGAGATACATCGCTAAAAAGGTGTGTATTTTAGAATCTGGGACGTTTGTGAGGATTCTTTAGAAGAATATTGGCCATTTTTTCTGACACCATGGAAGTTCATGGAATCTTTCTGCTGTCACTGTAATCTGCCTTGAAAATGTTAACTTTTTTGCTGGATACATGCATTAGAAACTTAGTTGATAAACCACAGAGCAGAGTAGTGGCTATAATTCTCTGTGACCCTGGGGGGGAATTTAAATAAGGAAAGGTCTTTCTTCCTGGTATAAGAGGCGCATTTCTTACTGATGTTTCTTAAACAGCTTTTAGTGTTCCCAGCCTTTTTTATCCATTACCAGAAGCTCTAAGACGTGTACTATATTGCTGGATTATAGCAGATATGATAGTTCAAGATAGAAAACACAGGCCGTGAGCTCTATTGCATAATCAGACTGGCTTTATTTTAAGTTTCTATTACATTCTAGTTATTAAAAATGCACAGAAGGAAGCAGATTTATACACAACAGCAAAATGTGGATACTTTGTATTAGATCATGTAGAATTTAGCAAGGAACATACGACCAGTAAACATAATTGGCCATCATTCATTTTCAGCATGATTTTAACTGCTAAACACTCACAGAGGACTCCTTGAGAGCCTTTAGACAAGTAAGGGCAAATGTTCAAATGAGGAAATGCAAATTGCAGTGGTCAGATGTTTTTGACCACAGTTGCATGTTCACATAGGAAATTGGAACTAGGCATGCACCAAGTACTTATCTTTCTGTCTCATACCCATCACTGTAGTATATGGTATATATCCAAATTTTCTAAGTGCCTGTATATGAAAATCTGTCCCATATACACTAACAAAAAAGCAAACCATCTCTCCCCTATGTGGCTTTCTATCACTGAGAGTACTAAAGATATTATTACCTTTACCTTGGTACAAGTTCTGTGGGAGTGGAGAGAGGAGGGATCATGTGGAAATCCAAGGAGTATGTGATTTCAGTGGTTAAGGCAAAGCATCTTTTTCTCATTGATCAGAGCATAACATGTCATCTATAAACGGCATACTAAAGCTGTACTGTTTAATAGATGTGAGGTTTGCATCTGCTTCCTCTCTTATCTCCCTTTAAAATGATAAAGTATCCCACACATGCAGTTTGTTAACATGGGCTGTGTTCTTTTACATACAGTAAAGCTCTACAGCTTGGTAAGAAAAGATTTTATTGCAGGTGAAGAATAATTTGAGACCACTCTTTCTCCCTCCCTCTCCCCCCTCCCCCAACATACTCACTTTATTAAGAATAAATGCTATGAAATATTTCAGTAGGCATTCATGATACAGACAGGAAAACAAGGTATGTTTGGGGATGGGCAGGAAATGTGTATGGAGGAGTAAAATTGAGCCCTGCCCCAATCTAGGTTCCACATTTAACTGAAACTTAGTATGGCTTAGCATCAGGTCCATGCGTGCACCATCTCACTAAGCTCTGCTGAGTAAGTCACATCAACGTCGCTGAGAGCCATACAGAATGCACCAGGTGATACTTCCCTTTCGGCTGAGGAGGAATGGTGCAAGAAGAACAGTGCAGATGGAAAGAATGGGCTCAATAGAAAGATCACAAACTGCCAAGAGAAGGGTCAGTCTTGGAAAAGAGAAGCCAGGGGACCTGTTCTGCCTTACGCAGGAATAACTTGTAAAAGGAGAGCAGACGCTGAAATCAGATTGTGAGGTAGACACACCTCCCCCTTTTTCTCTCAAGGGATGTGGCTGAACCCGACCCCTGGAAGAAGTTCCGATTCCGCCCTACTGCATCGGGAATAGCACATATTACTGAGTGATCTTCATTGCCTAACGTAAGGGGCATCTGCCATGCCCAGCCCCACTGGCTCCTATTAGCTAATGAAGATTGCTGATCCTGCAAGAACCAAGGTACCAGAAGCTCCTCCAATGGAGGTTCTACAGCACAGAGGGGCTGTATTAATTAGCACTTGCTTCCTTTGTGGGAGGGCAAGAACTCGGTGACTTCTAGCCTGCTCCCATCCCACACAATCCTATCCCTATTTGCCCACTTTCCAGGTCTGTCGAGCCTGAACTCCACAAAGGTGCATGCACTAGCTGTTTTCTTCACACGCGAAAGGAATAATAAAGCCCCTACTAAGTGTGGGGAAGGGGAGAAGGTAGGTGTGGCACAACAGAAATCTTGGAACAGAGGTGAAAGGTTTATGGCTTATGAACTGAGAGCTTGGGGCAGTGATCCCAGGGGAGAGATATGGTGGCCTAGGAACAGTGGGACAGTGCACTAGCAGCAGACAGAGTGGGGTAAAGACAAAGCAAGAAGACGTGTGTATGTATGGGAAGGCACAGCAGAGAGCTAACTGGAAGCAGTTTTGAGGTACCAAACCCAAATGCTTCCAACAAAATGAGTTGCTCTGTGAATGTGAAAACTTTACTGCCACAAGATAAAGCCAGCACTTAAGTTACAAAAAAGGGTTTCACCCTAAGAACGTGTAACTTTTTTGTTCAGTGAAACGTAAAGCTCTAATTAAAACTAAAGTTGACAGTACATTGGGGAATGGAAACTTCTCCCTGCCAGAATCAATGTAAAGGGTATACATCGGGGTGGGCAATAATTGTTGGTGGGGGGAGGGACACACCAAAATTTTGGAAAGTGGACAAGGGCCACACTTTTCTGTGGAAGAGGTATGTGGTCTAGGTTGGCAGTTGGGTGCAGAAGGGCACACAGGATAAGGGGACTGGGGTGCAGGAGAGGGTGTGAGGTCTGAGAGGAGTTTGGGTGAAGAAGGAGGTTGTGTTCTGGGGCAGACTCTGGGAGGGAGTCTGGGTGCAGGGGAGGATTCTGTCCAGGGAGGAGGAGTGTAGGAGGGGGTACAGGGTTTGGGAGGGAGTTGTGAGCTGGGGCAGGGGGTGCAAAGGGTTTGGATGGTGACCTGGGGGAGGGAGTTGGGGTGCAGGAGGGCAGGGGTGCCAAAGGCAGGCTCTGGCTAAGAGGCGCTTGCTTACCTAAGTGTCTCCCAGCCAGCAGCCCTGCAGCACCCTAAGGCAGGGTGGGCTCCTTGCTTGCTGCAGCCCCAGAACACTTGAAACTGCAGGCTACTCTCTCCATGTGGCTCTCAGCTCTGAGAGGGGGGATAGGCTTGTGTTGCCCCCAGCTCCCAGGCCAATCTCAGCACCTATTGGCTGGTTGTTTCTGGCCAATAGGAGTTGAGGATTAGGCTGGGGGCAGGGAGATCACCCGAAGCCCCCTCCCATTAGAATGGAGAGTCACATGGAGGATCCCTGTGCTTATTATAGCAGCTGCTGCATGCCTGAGGGTCCTGGCAGGGTTGTCCATGGGCCAGGTCTAGCCACAAGAGATATCGTGCCCACCCCTGGTATACATTCATGTGAACTATAAGAGTAATATGGCCTCAAATTGCCTTAATTTGGAACACTTATAACCCGATAAATTCATTCCCAACCCTCCCCCCTGGTGTCTTCTGTTACTTCACTTTATTGACATGTGCACTTACTCAGAGCTAAGACAATGAGAGCTGAAAATATTTCTTCTTCAATTTTTTCCCTATAAACACTGGCAAATTAAGAAAAATCTTGTTTACACAAGTGGTTTCCTTTCAACCTCTAGGTCCAGCTCACCATAGACATGTCGTAGGGCATCACAATTCAGGCTTGCAATTAGCTTTCGAACTCCAGCTTGTCTTGGAATGCATTTTTCTTCCCAGGTCAAAGTAGAATTCTTTGGAATTTCTCTGCAGTTATAAAACAAAACATCAATATTTGACAATTTGACAGGGTGAGATTTATCAGGCTGATACAGAATCTGAGAAGTCAGAAATGATTAAACTATACCCATCTCGATAGCAGAGGAGTGCCCAACAGATCTGCTTTCATCTCTAGGCCACTGCAAAATTGTTCTTTACAAGATGTTTTCTATGATTTTTTCCAATCCCATTTACAATTTTTCCCAAAATAATGGTGGGTTTCACACATCTCTTGGGGTCTATTTCTCAGTCAAATAGGACGGTCCTGGAGGAAGTTTTCCCAGCTGTTCAATTTATACTTCTCCCCTTTGAATTTAAATCCATAGCTTTTGTATACCCATTGGGTACTTGAGGCCCTCATCTTCAATGCATCACATTCTATGCAGATGTAAATGGGCAAAACTCCATTGAAGTCAGGTGGCTATACCTGCAGCAGCAGAGAATTTGACCTATTATTCAGTATGTCCATGAAAAGCTTTAGTACAGATGTAGTCTTTTAGCTCAGTTTCCCGTGCCCCCACTGAAATCAATAGAAGTCTTGCTATCACTTCAACTGGGCTAGGATTGCCCCAAGTCTACATGTGACTCATGGAATATATGCTCATTTTAAGATCTTAATCTGTGCTATGTTGCTATAAAATAGTATTCAGCAGATTTTGTTTAGCTAGTCAGTTTCTCTGCTTTCCCCTCTGGCCCTGGGAGAACCTGAAGACTAGCAGTAGTTTCCAGCTTGTACACTGAAAGCAAATTCACATTTGCCATTCAAACAATTCCTTATTCAGAAATGCCCAGAAAGAGGAGTGGTCATGGGGAATTGAAACACTCTGCCAGGTCACACTGTAGTGATCAGAGAGCATGTTGTCGTTGTCCACTATAAACATCACTTCTTTGTGTCCATGAAAGCTGAACAAGCTGAAATGTTCTTATGAGTCCTGCTGTTGGCAGTTGCACTGTTCCATTACATATGGCTCCTCATTGCTTATAGCATCAACAACCCACTCTGTTCTGTTCTTGATTTTCAGTTTTATGCTAAGGTTTAAGTCACACAGACAGCCACACGTACTAGGTTTGAATCTTTTCTAAGCAGTGTCACAGTCCTGTCCTGTATGCAGTTTTTGATAAATGATATTGATGGACTGGGTTTAGGGGAATGCAGTCTGCTTTAATGGAACCAGTAGAGGATGTGAACTAGGTATTTATAAGAACAAATACTGCTTCTTTAGCATTAAGGAAGAGGATTATCGACTGCATACTTCTGGATTGTGATTATAGTTATGTGGGGCCTCGTTGTCTTTGGTGTGAACATAAACAGAGTGGGTGCAAGGTGGACTGCCATGAGTGTAAGAACAGAAGTCAGATTTAGTAACATTTTACACTGCACAGATGTAACTGACTACATTAGGTTCAAGGCAGGGGAGAATCACGGTTGTGATGGGGACTGTTTAAGTCCCAAGCTCAGCATAAAAATACTTCAGAGCAGCTTCAATGCATGCACCCAGCAAAACAACAACAACAACAAAAAACAACAAAGCAGAGTTTTGTAAAGCATGTGAAAACTGTTTGGTGCAAATTCCTGCTCATATTCTCTGTTCCTAATGAAGCACGCACAACCTGTCCTTCTACAACTGACTCTTCACCAAATACATATTTACAAAGGCAGAATGGTGCATTACCTTAAAAAATGGTGCCAGCTAAAATGCCATTAGTTCCCAGTGTGTGGGGAAAATCGCCAGTCTGGGAATCACTGAAGGCATTACATGATCCTTTATAACATTTCTACCATGGACTGGATCCTCAGCTGACGTAAATTGCCATAAGATTAAAGTTTCAAGTCCCTACGTTTTATTGGCTTCTGTGTCAATTAGAGCCTTTGAAAATATTACTCTCAATTCTAATAAAGTCAATAGTGTTATACCAGCTGAGGTTCTAGTCCAGTTACTGACATTATAAACTTTCCTTCTTTTGCAATGCTGGTCATAGGTATAAGCCTCGTACAAACATCATCTCTAGATTTTAGTACCCTAAAGTTGCCATTCCACATGCACTATATCTGTCTGATCATACCCTGGTTATCCAAATCAGCTCTTCAAAACATATTGAAATAAATGGGCTTTGGGTCAGGGCTCTGGCTGATATGGTCACTCTCTTGAGGGGCTTTCATCCCTACTGCAATTGAAGGTCTTGTGGTATTTATCCTCACAACAGCCCTGTGAGGTAGGGAAGTGCTGTTATCCCTATTGTACAGATGGGGAGCTGGAGCATGGTAGGTTCAATGACTACCGGTCCAAGGACCACAAAGAAGCTAAATTAAGAATAGGATACCCATCTCTCATGTCCCAGTCTACTGTCCTATGCATTAAATCATCCTTCGTTGCTTCCCTCATCTGTAATTCAAGCTCAGACTTTTGGAAAAAGATAAAGTGACATGAAGAAGGGACTGGCTATGGGATAGTTCTAAATCATTTTAATAATGCAATTAATTGTGTGTCTGCTTTGAGATGTACAAAGGCAATACTCCCAGCTACAGGGGCTGTAGCTGTGTAAGGCCTTTGCACAAATCATGCTCCTTTCACTACTCAGGTCCGTTGCTATTTATAGCCCTATGTGATTTGTCTAAGTAAAGGGACAGGGGCAGGAAAAACAGCCTTGTCTCCTGACTCCTGACCCAATGCTTTATCCATTGGACCACACTGCCTGTCATTGCAAGCCATAGATATGTCAGTACTATAAAATAAAAGAGCATTTATAGACATTTCTAAATTCTTCTCCTCCTCAGAACCTCCCTCTCCCCCACAATAATAACTAATGATAAGAGACCAACGGGAACACCTCCAAGGTGAGATGGTCCAGTGATTGATAGAGATGCAAAAAAAAAAACCACCCAGAAAACAAACCGATTTTTGTTTTTGTTTTGGCAAATGAAGTCAAACTGCCCTAATTATATTTGCTTGGGAGCAAACTTGGTGATGAATGATTCTAAATAATGTGCTGAGCCATCAGCACACTGCCACCATTCATCACCTTGAATACATAGAGGTAAATGGGATTATTATTTAAATAAACTACAGCTATCCATGGCTTGTCCCCAGTGTATGTGCAACCTGCAGACTTTATCCACTGGAGGAAAGTTAAAATGAAATCTGCAAAAGACCGCCAATCATTTCCCATTTTTAGATAAGTCCTAAGACATGATCTTAAAGGGGAGGGGGAGGGCGGTGAGGGAAGCTGTGGCTTGAAGAAAGCATAAGTCTCCACTGGATTGATCTTATTTCCTGGCAATTCCCTTTCTTTAGATGAACCTGACTGCTTTGACTTTCTTGAAGGGGACAGCAGTAATCAAGAGTTTTTAGAATAAAAAGGGCTGCAAAACAAGGGCTGGTCTGCCATGATTCCCTAATAATTAAGGTCATTTTCAAAACTGATATAGCACATGTGGAAGATCTAGTATCAGATTCAGCCATGTCCTAAACCAGCGGTATGCAACCCCTGGGTCGCGACCCCCAAGAGTCGTGGCCATGTTTATGGGGGGGGGGGGGGTTGTCACAGTGCTTTGATTTGGGCCAGCTGGCATTTTATTTTCCTGGCTCAGTGCCCAACGTACACATGGGGTGGTGGTGGTGGGAGCGGCAGGGGAGTGGACCAGCTCGTTAAATTAAAGGGACCACAACAAATGTTCCTGGCTATTTTTTTTTTTTTGCTCAACAAAAATTTTTTCCAGCTCCGGGGGTTGTGAATAATAAAAGGTTGAGCACCACCGACCTTAACTTTAGTGCATGCTACATATTGTCCAATGTCCTTTAACACCTATTTCTACCCAATTCAAATCCAGGGTCTTATTCCAAACATTTTTTTACATGGGTCCAAGTGTGAGCAGAATCAGACCCCTGATGTGCAAATATGCTAACATTTATGCTACTGCTGATTTAGGGCCAATTTTTCAAAGGAGCCAGGGCCTCAATCCAGCTTCTAAATGTGAGTGCATAACACTTCATGCCAACAGCAGACAGAACTTCTGCATGCAAATAAGACATGCATTCAAAAATCTTTTATGCACACACAGTTCTACTGTTTGCACACATAGCACATCACTCTCAAAAGTAAAGTGAGCTCTGGAAAATGTCTGGGAGCAGCTGCACCAGTGATGAGATTCTCTCTAAATGAAATAAAAAAATTGGCCGACACCACATTGCATTCCTGTTTCTCAGACTTGAGGTCATTCTGTATCAGGCTTCTGCATTTCAGAACAGACCTATTTAGGGATGCAGTAGAGGCACAGTTACTTACTCTCCTAGTCAAAACACAGTGGTCCCATCAAGGCTGCTCTGCTGTTTCTGCATCTAACCCACAGAGACAGATTTTAAAAAGTAGATTCACATAGATGCATACAGGGATTTTCAAAAGCATCTCTCTGAATCTTTATGTTTCTAAATATCTTTTAAAATCTTGCTCAGAGTTAACAGGGATTAGAATCCCTTTTCAGACCGCCCCCTCAAAAACGGGGGTCTTATTTACGATTTTACCACAAACCTTGAGTAGTAGGCAAATAGCAGTTGCAGCAGAGATAAAATTTGACACATTAGGTATTTCCTTAATACAAATAAAAGAATAGCATTGCCAATTGCCCACACCATCAACTTCTCCAAAAACCCTCTAGTAACCCGCACAGTGATAACCTGACCTCTTCCATCTGTTCTTTCCCCTTCAGCCATTATAAATCCTCAGACTCAGAAGCATGTGCTTGAATTATAGTACATAGCACAAAGTAACTATCCCTATTGATGTAAATCTCAGATGGGAGAAGTGAATGAACATCCCATTATTTCCACATTCTTCCCTACCTGAACATTTTTGTGGTTGCCTTCAGTAGCCCAGGTCCATCGAGACGTACCCAGACATTTTCAAGCTTTTGGTTCAGTGGGTTGGTGAATTCTGTGATCACAGACATTTCCTTCCCAACTACCTTCTCTCCAGGAACCTAAAAAACAAGACAAAGGTGTAGATCAGAAGCCGAAAATTATCAAAGTGCAAAGTCTCAATTATTAAATGTTCAGTTAACAAAATGTGTGAGTTTGCACAGGTGGCTTTTTGTGGAAAAAAAGCCAAGTGAAGTGATGTGTTCGTCTCTTGGACTTGGTCATGCACAGAGACAACTACCAAACAAACAAACCACTGCTTGTGGAATCATGGTTCTTTTCTTGGTGCTCATGTCCTTACAAATCAAAGCTAACTAAAATACCTAGATGAAACTGGAGGGCATGGCCATTCACTGTATGGAACTAGCAATGCATTCTTTTTTGGAGCCAAATTGAAATGGCTACAATCACCAGGAAATTTTTCCATGGGTTTAAATGTGGATTTTCCCACAGTGAATGTTCTGTATTCGGAGACAGAATCATGCTGTGGCAAAGAGAGAGAGAGAGAGAGAGAGATTTCACCTCATTTCTGCACACAATCTGTCTGGGAAGATTTCATAACATGCATGCCAGTGAGTATAACAGAACCACAGAAGGATCTGCTGTACAGTGAAAATGGAGTAATCTATACAGGTCTATTAAAGCCCTATAACAGACAGACTCTCTTATATATGATGGATAAGTTGGGGCCTTGAATATTAGGAATACAAAGAGGATTTTGTACTAAGGCTACTGGGCAGAAAGAAACCACAAAGCGCTCATTTGATTCTATTGCTTTTCTGACACAATGCCCACTACCACTGTCCCTGCTGGCTTCCAGACTGAAACAGCCTTTTCTGCCTTGTCACTTCGGAGGAGCAACTTAATTCTGCCCTGGTAGGGGGATAGCTGATTACATCATATTTGGGTGACAAAGTGTGTCCCCACTTTCCGTTAACTCCAGTAAGAGGGGAGGCTGCACAACACTTTGAGGGGGTGTTCAGCATCTCAAATCCTAGGGCTCTTGAATGCTAGAGAATGAAGAGTGGGATCTTGTTTGTTTTTTAACAATATAACTGTTTTTTCTGGCAATGCTTGAAGCAGTGCACATGCCCTTGTTTGTAACAGCACTAGCATGATTTGCATGGGTACAAGGCCTCCATTTTTAAAATTTGACCGAGGGCAGGGAAGAGTAGAAGGCTTTGTAGGAATATGCAAACTTGTAGCTGCAAGACCAGCTAGTAAAGGGGAGGATGGAACTTGGATCTAGAAAAGGGGGCTTACATTCATTAGGCCCAGTTTTGGTAGAGATGCCATGTGTCTGGTTTTCGACTGGAATGCCCAATTGAAAGGGACCCAGGTGGCTCCACTCAGCACTGTCAACAGTGCCATTAAAACCCCAGTTGGCGGTGCAGCGGGATTAAGGCAGTCTCCCTGCCTGCCACCTGAGCAACTCCCAGATGCATCAGCATGTGCCTCCTCCAGTTCCTGAACATAGGGGCAGCCAGGGGGCCTCTGTATGCTGCACCCACCGCAAGTTTTAGCTCTGTAGCTCCCATTGGCTGGGAACTGCAGCCAATGGGATCTGCAGGGGTGGTGCACGTGCACAGGGCAGCATGCAAAGCTGCATGGTTGTGCCTCTGAATAGGAATCAGAAGGGGAACATGCTGTTGTTTCTGGGAGCTCCTTTAGATAAGTGTCACCCGGAGACTGTACCCCTGAAACTGTTCTGTTTCAGCCCAAAGCACCGTTCTACACCCAAACTTCTCATCCTTAGCTCCATGCCAAAATCTGCACCCTCCCAGCCAAAATCCCCTCCTGCACCCTAAACCACTCATTTCTTGCCTCACCCCAGAGCCTACCACTCCAGCCCAAAGCCTATACTCCCTCACACCCCTGGCATCAGCTTGGAGCCCTGTCCCAAGGTCTCAGCTTCATCCTCCCTGCCCATAGCCCCCTTCTATACCCTGAATGCCTCATTTCTGGCCCCATCCAGAGCCTGACACTCCACACTGGAGCCCTCACCCCCTCCTGAACTCCTAGCCCCTGAGCCAGCCCAGTGAAAAATGTGAGTGAGAGTGGGGAATGCAAGTGACAGACGGTGGGGGAGATGGAGTTAGCAGAGGTTAGGGCCTTGGAGGAGGAGTGGGGCAGGGGATAGGGCAAGGGTATTCGGCACCATGAAAGTAGAAAGTTGGTGACCTTAATTCTTGGGTCTGAGCAGCACAAAGGAGCAACAAAGCTGGCATTTTCCTGAGGCATTCACCATAAATGTAGAGTTGGGGAAATGGAGCTCCTCCAAGCCCACTTTCTCTTTCTGTCCCTAGCTCCTGGCGTAGGAGGTGTTCTCAGGCGAAGGAAGGTGCTCCCTGAGAAGAAACGGCTCCTTGGTGGCTCCTAGTACTGTTTATCTAGTCCCTTTTCTCACTCTGGTGATTAGACACTCCAGAATGCACTACTACAATATTTCCCCCTGTTCCATACCATAGAATTACAAGTGCTGGTTTGTGTCACTCAGGATCCTCGGAGGTCTTGTGCACAGCTTCCCTTCTTTTCAACTTATCTTTAATGCTCTGGAGGAAATTCCAGCTTGCCTGTTCTCTCCCTCTCTAAACTTTCTATTTGGTTGTCCTCAAACACCCCAGGTACAGGAACAGAAAATAGATGCGGCACAGAGGCAGTAAGGAGGAAAACTTTTACATTGATGAGAACTGCCCTTTCTAACATTACGTGGCTGATGTGCAACAATGGCATGAATAGCCACATTTGTGACAATCCAGTCAAAAACAACCTCTTACCTTTTCATACTGATGTCAGTGGTACTGAAAAGTTTTCAGGAGTTTTGGCCCTCCCCCTCCCCTTCTGCAAATTTTTTTTTTTAATGAAGAAAACAATAGCCATTAAAGTAAAAACTCTGCCCAACCTCCGTCCCCCAAAATAAAAAATTGTGGAGGGGTCAGGGTGACAAACTCTGTTTTTCACTAGGAATAAAAATCTCTTTTCTGATCAGTTCTACTAGTACCAGTAGTACCTTGTTTTTAACCAGTTTACTTTGACCAGTTTAATGATTGCTATGGGCCAATTGCTAGTATCCTCACTCAGGGCTTTATCAACCTCCCACACTGAAATAGTAAAAGTTACGACCCCCCCACTGACTTCAGTGGTACAGGACAAGGCACTTGGAGGGCAAAATGTCAGAAGTTGCAGGCAAGGACCTACTAGGATTTTCAAAAGTACCTAAATAGGTTGGGCACTGAACTCCTATTGAAATCAGTAGGGTATCTAAGGGTGTGTCTAGACTACAGAGTTTTGTCGACAAAACTATACCTGCGTCTACACTACCGTTGAGTTCTGTTGACATAACGACAGAACTCAGCAGTTTTGTAGACGCTGGTAAACCTCATTTTACGAGGCATAACACCTTTTGTCGACAGAGTTCTGTCGACAGAAGGTGTTATTGCATGTAGGGTTGTGTCTAGACTACAGGGTTTTGTCGACAAAGCAGCTTGCTTTGTCGACAGAACTGAATGTGTCTAGACGCTCTTTGTTGACAGAAGTTTTGTCGACAGATACTGTCGACAAAACTTCTGTCGACAAAAGCCTGTAGTCTAGACGTACCCTAATTTACTTAAGTGCTTTTGATCATGGGAGTTAACTTTAGAAGAGTGGAATTATTTTGGGTTTACACAGATGGAACTGAAAGTAGAATTTCAAGTTAGCACACTTATTATTGTGACCTAAATTTGAAAGAGATATTCTTTCCCCATTAATTGATTAATTCCAATGACCTTTTAGCCAGACAGTGAAAGATCAAAATGCATATATGAAGACACAGGACATAGGGTTTTCCCCTCTTCTCCTTACTTATGTACTGAGTAGTCACCCAATTCACATATTGAAGTTTCCCAAGAAAGTTTGGGAAGTTGAGGCTTGTATTTCTCACATTTCTAAAATTAAAGTTAAACAGAGTCCCCTCTCACCTCTTTTATATGCACTGAAAAATAACAGACCCCCTTTGGACATCACAAAGCAGCAAATAGGACACCAAAACCAGTTTTTTACCCTTTGCCAATCACCTAAGCTTTTGCTGTTTATAGAATAGATGTTTTGGGATGGGGAGAGAGACCTATTGCTTACATTAATTATTCTTTCATTGCAACAGAGGAAGAGTGGATAAGCTATTTTGGAGATTAACATGGTGATTTTGCATAGGATGCTGTGTCTGAATACTGAAGATACAGTAGTTTATATTTTTAAATTTGTCTACTGAAGATGAGTGAAGTTAATTTGACTTGTTGGTTTTCTCTGAGATGTTCTGTAAAACAGAACCCTGTCTGCAGACAATATTGATAATCATTTACATCCTCTAATTAGACCATAGTGGCACTTTCATATTGAATGAGAGTTTTTCTGCAAACTTCACAGTGTTTTGAAACTACAGTATCTGTTCTACTTTCTCACCTTTTTTGCAACTTGTCTGCTGTTTCACACGGATATCACTGTCATTTTAGGAGCTCAGAATTTTTAAATGCTTAGTTAAAGATTGCTGAGTTTTAAACAATGCTGCCATTAGAGCAACCTCCATTACGTTTCAGATCTGACCTGTCTGTGAGATGACACGGAGCAGTTGATAGCTATTGCTTCAGTCTGTGTCTACAGGCTCAGGAAGATTGTTCTATATCTAGTCACCTTCAGAAGGATAGTTATACAGACCTATTTTGCTTGTGCCCCCATCATTTCCTTGTTCGCTGCTCATCCTACCCAACCAATAGCTTATACTGAAGTGGTCCTTTATAACCTGAGCTTTGTTCTACTTAATCTTTGTAAGGATCCGGATGATGAGAGGGATCAAAGGGAAGGCCTACATGAGGTCTCCTACCCATGAGACAAAGAAGGCATCCCTTGTTCCAGCCCTGCTCGGAACAGAATTGATGGTACTTCCTGTCATGTATGGTGGTGAACAGGTCCACTAGGGGAGTTTCCCACCAACAGGTCCACTAGGGGGGATTGCACCAGCCACTTCTGGGTGGAGCGACCGCTGGCGGTGAGTGGAGAAGCCCCTACTCAGATGATCTGCCAGTGTGTTCTTGGTCCCAGGGAGATGACCTGCTTCAAGATAGGTTCCATGGCCAATACAGAAGTCCCAGAGATGGAGCACATCCTGGCACAGAGTGGAGGATCAAGCTTCTCCTTGCCTGTTGATATAGAATATTGAGGCAGCAGTATCTGCTGCATCCGACACCAACTGGAACGCTGCCCTGTCCGCTGTGGAACTCTGATCCAAGATCGCTTGGAACAACTTCCTCAAAGACTCAGGAAGGGCAGACTCAAACTTGGAGATGGCCTACCATGTACTAACATCATAGCGGCCTGGGGGATATGATGGTTGGTCACCTGTAACTGCAAATTAGAGGATGAATAAACCTGGCGCACAAACAAGTGACTCTCCTCAAGTCTCTATTTTCTGGGGGTAGCACTTGGTTGACTCTGTCATTCCCGGTAGTTTCTACCACCAGGGAATTAGGGGCAGGGTGGGTTTACAGATACTCATGCCCTTATAGAGGATGAAGTACTTGTGCTCCACCCTCTTCGAGATAGGAGGCAGAGAAGATGGAGGTTGCTAGAGGGCATTTGTGAACTTTGTGACTCCATCATGCAAGGGTTGGGCTACTGAGCAAAGGACATCAAAGAGGGAGTCAGTGGGTTCCTCCAGCTCTTCTGCCTGGAGGTTCAAGCGGGCAGCCATCACTATCCAGAGACAAGGAAGAGGATGCCAGAGCTAGTGGGCCGGAACTTGGTGGTGCGGTGACCTGCTTATCCACTACCTCCTGCCCCTGAGGAATACCCACTGATGAGGCCTCCAGAAATGGAGGGGGCAGGAGAGAGAGTATGACTGTGTCTCTGATGCCCTGGACATTGAGCAGGCCACATGAGTGGGGCTGGGTAAACCCTCGTGAATGTCCAGGGGTACCATAGTGTTGGCCATTGTGTCTGAGGCCATGGGCCAGGTTGCAGTGCTGATGGTGCAGGCTTCACCAGCGCTGATGGAGCCTGACTGGCAGGTAAGTGATTTTGCGCTGAGTGGTTGCTCCTGTGTGACCCAGAGGGGACTGGCTTTGCTCCTGCTGGTGGTGACTGCTCCTGAAGTGGACATGGGTGAGCTTGAGGAGTGCCTGGACAGGGTGTCAGTGACCGACGGGGGTGCTCAATGACAAGCACTGGGATAGAGTGGGATGGGGAGGTACAATAGGTATGATGGGAGGGTGGCCTGTGGGAGTGGGGGGGGGGGAAACCGATGGCTGTTGATTGGGAGCATGGTATCCACAGCTCATTGACCTATTCCTGGAGTGATGCTGAGGCCATATGGAATCACTGCATTGCTTGTAGTACTCGTGCTGGGGCTGTGTACTTCTACAGGCCTGAATCCCATTGCCATGAGCCAAGTCTTGAGCCTCTACCCTTTGGACATGATGGTTTTGCCCGAGGTTTTTAGTGGTACCATGGAAGGGAACTGGTGCTGGCTAGTGGATGGTAAAGGTGGAGGGCAGTGCACCAAAATTACAGTGTTCACCGCCATACCAGAGCACTGCTCCAGCATCAGTGTAAGGGCAGACTCTATAAGGAGTGGTTTTAAGTGAATTTCCTGCTCTTTTTTTGTCCTGGACCTGAAGGACCTGCAAATAGTTTACTTATCACTAACCTTCACCCAAGCACTGTAAACAACAAATGTGTGGCTTGCTAATTGGCCTGGGCCTTTTACAGTGAGCATACTGCTAGCAATCGGACATGCCCTGTCCTGAGGCAAAGTCCCAAATAGAACATAACAAGTATTTAACTAGGGCCAGCTCTGCACTAGGGGGCAATGTTGAACTAAGGTACACAACTCCAGCTACATGAATAGCATAACTGGAGCTGAGGCATCATAGATCAACTTACCACGGTGACTCCCCTTATGCTTCTTAATCTGGTGGAGTACCAGAGACGATGAGCGCATGCTCAATGTTTGATTTAGAGGGTCTTCACTAGTTCCACTAAATCGTCCCCTGTGGGATCGATCTCTGTCGAGCCAATGTTTTGCTAAGTGTAGACAAGGCCATAGGGTAACTACAATTAACGGGGAGCTATCTACAATAGAACATATAAAGAGTCCAATGAGTGAAAACAGCAGCGTTAGCTGCAGCAGCACAGTTCCAGGGCTATCACTGGCAGCGATGAGGAACTGAAGGTGGGGGGAGCCAGACAAAACATTAAAATGTGGCAAAGTTCTCACAACTAAAAACAGGGTCCAAGTGGGATGCAGGAGGTAACCGAATTAGAGGTGATGCTATCAACTCTACTTTGTCTGTCTGTATGACTCTGTTTTAAGTTTTTTATAACATATTAGCTTTTAGATTTGTTTGAAAAAAGACCCCCCACATTAGCAACCTAAGCGCTGGCCCAACCTGTAGAGATCAGTGTGACAGTGATGCAGAACATATCTTGAACTCAGGATAGTTTCTCGTTTCCTTTGCTGAATTCTTGAAACTGACCTTGATGTGAAGCTTGGGGATTTGCAGCACAGAGGTCTTCTGCTTGGCCAGGATCTTTTTTGTTTCATTGAGACGTGCTGTGACGAAGAAATGCAAAGAGGCCTGTTCCAGCAGCTGACTCATGTACTCCCTCGATTTGATTAAGACCTCAGAAATTTTAGCTGATGGGAGAACAAAAAAAACCCACACACAATAAAGCAGAAGTTTGAAAACGGTGTAGTTATGTGTTATTACTTTCAGTCCTGCTGATGCCCTGCAGGCACAGAACAGATTCCCTCTTCACCCCCCACTGAAGAAACTGTCAAAGACTCAAATGGGAGTTAGGTAGTCAGACAAAAGCTGCAACCCCTCATTTTCTGCTGAAGCAGTCATTGTGTATTACTTCCTTTCCCACTTCTGTCTGTTTTTGTCCCTATTTGGTGCACCACATGTCATTTAAGACTGAGTTATTTGGGGCAGGGACTGTCTTCTTTGTTATGTATCTGCCCAATGCTCAGCCTACTGGCGCCCTGATCCTTGACAAGAGTTCCTAGGCATTACCATAATATAAACAAGTAGTAATAAATAACTCCCACAGGCTTTTAATGGGAGGCTGAAGTGCCTCTGGAGAATCTCCCTCTCAAAGATTTACTTCTCCCCTTCATTCTTATACCCCTTCCACATATTTTTGTTGGTTTGGAGGGGGTACCCATGCAGATGATAACAGCCACCAAATGGAGATGCGAATGCAGCCAGCGCTTCTGGCACTGTTTCCTGTTCCTCAGTGCAAGGCTGTTTGCTGATTCCAGTGGCTGACCTACAATCAACACTACATGCAGCAAAACACAGAGGGATTCATTCAGCATTACCCCTCTCCCTTGCAAGCTTTCACTCTAGTCCTGGCTGAGAATTACTGAAAAGGAGCAACTCCTTTGGATGGAATGTCGAGCTGCAGGGAATCATTCATTGTAACTGTATTGAACAACAACTTGTCCAACACCGGTGTTATAATTCACATAGATCACCTGGGTGATCAGTCACAGTCTGTGGCTTGATTCCTTGCTTGGACAAATACCAGTCTAGTTTCTTCAACATTAGTAAAAGTAGGAAACTCAGAGTCATGCCAGCCCTCTGTGCGTTTGGCCCTATACAATCAGCTGTGAAATTGAACTCAAACTGAGTAAATCACAGTCCCATCTTTCCACTCTTGATCCACCTACATCAAAATGGGTTTCAAAGCTATTCCCATGATGACCACCTGAACTAGATTTACCAGGCCAACCTTGAATTTATTGGAGGTGGTCCCATCTCCTGTGAAGGAATTTCCCATCATATCTCAAATCTGTAATTATAACCAAGACCAGGAGTTATTTAATTGATGCAAAAACTATTTGTTGCACTATACATGAAATTTATTTTACAACGTAAAAAAGAGAGAAACATTTTAATCTCTGAGGAAAAAGAATAATAGATTCCCATTTCTGCAGTGGATACGCTGGTAAGATGCCAATGCAACATACTGTCCCTGGGAAAGCCAAGGGAGACACAAAACTGAGCTGCCTAGAGCAGCTTTCAAAAAAATAGAGAAAGCTAAATATAACTGAGTGGAAGCTATAGCACCTTTGAAGGCACTGGCAGGTTTAAGCTATTCAGATCCTCAAAGATGTTTTCAACCCACTCAGTTCCTTTAATCTTTATTATGAAAATCACGCACCCAGTTTCGGTTTGAAAACTTATTTTGTTCCTTTCAACAATGTATCTAGAAAGAATGCCTCTGACGCATTTTGATCATGTAGTAATATTCTATTACCTTCAAAATACACACACACACACACACACACACACACACACACACACACACACACTTATTTCTTGCTATGTCACTAAACCTACAAATTCTGCTCAGATTCAAAATATGTTAAGGCAATGGCAAGCGTTAGCAACATGGTATTTCAAACTAAGGGACTGTTTTCTTAGAACCCCCTTCCTTAGCCCTCCTCCTCCTGACATAATAATAACAACAATAATAATAATAACAATCATTGGTGGTGGTAGTAATAATCAACAGCAGTATTCATCTATATTTGCCAGGACTATTTCTTGCTGCCTTTTTGAAGCACTCAGCAACTTCTGTTCTTGTTGCTCAAAGATAGAAACATAAGGTATGTTCATTATAATAAGGGACTGTTAGCAACCCTAGTGATTGCCTCTGGTATGCGGTCTTATTCTAGATAAAGGCCCAGTCTATATTCATTTATGAGTCACTAGAATTTGGAATTTATTAAAACATTTCATAGCAGCTTTATGTACCATGTCCACAGCTGAGCAAAAATGAGCACTGGGTCTGTCTATTTATATTAGTGAATGCACCTTAGTGCAGAGGAGTCAAACAAGCACCACCACATCATTTAAACACTTTGTTAAGTGGAGTCATAGTGTCTTGCATGGAACCTCAGTACATGGCCGAATCTGACCTATGGAGTTTAGCTTGGAAAACAGATGGAGTGTTGAGGTATTTGCATATTCTATATAGGGGTGCAATGGGATTGTGAATGAGAATTTAGCCCAGAGTTGAAATTGATTTACTTTAATGGTTAGCCATGTTTTTTCTTAAACTTTGACATAATTTTACAGCTGATACTTAGTAATTGATTCAAAGCACTTAAAAATTGCATGTTATACTAAAACCAGTTGGAATAACTCGCTGCAGCAGAGAGAAAGTACTTTAACAGTTACTGAGTACCCACAAATGAATCAGATGAGTTCCAACCAACCAACAGCTGTTGGCTCCTCATTGGATTGGAGAGATTGGAGCTAAAGTTTTCATTGGGGTCCATCTCTAATTTTTCACTAGTTAGACTACTTGTTTATGGGGATTTACAAACTCCATATGAAGATTTATACTCAGTCAGTCATTGGGGAAAATCTTGCCCTAAGATGTGCTGAATGGATGGTAGGAAACTTTTTATACCATGCAAAAAACAGGACGAGATCTCTTCCTAGCAGTCCAGAGAGGGCAATAATGGGGTACCACAAGCATAGCATGCCCCATAGGGTGCATGGTATCTCAGATAGGGAATGTGCCCTCAGCTAGCTGGCACATATGCTATGGCCAGAAGCACACATTAGCCAGGGATGTATTCTGTTCCTTTTTAGATTGCCATAAATATGCACTTAACACTGTATTCCCGAAGCCTGTCCCGAAACATTCTACATAATAACTGCAGAATGACTCTTGTGTGAAATGTGCACCCAATGCCACTCTATTCTCCTGTCTTGTAGGGCTCTCCCGGACATGGGCAATCTTTTGCTTTTATTTTGTCATCGTAACCTCTAGCTGGAGAGCTACAAGATGGTCAAAGATGTGAAAGTGACATTTTACAGCTTACCACCCGGACCCAGTCTCTCTCTCCTTAAACAACCACCAACCTTATCACTTATTAAACAATTTAGCGTTTTTAATCTGTAAAGCTCTTAGCACACTGAATGTAGCTAAGCATTATCATCCCCATTTCACATATGCGTCTGGGCAGAGAAAGGAATAGATTCCAGATTTTCTGACTCTCATTCCAGGGCCCTCTCAAAGGCTATGTAATTTGGTCCCATCTCTGGAAAGAGTTTTGCTGGTGTAGCACACACACAGATAAGAAAACAAGCAAAAAGCTGAGACTTAAAATTTTTTCCATATCTTACATGTCCTGGGTTCCAGTGTCACATCAAAAATATGGCTCTTGAATTCATTCTTCAAGACACCTGTATAAAATACAATACTGCCAGATAGATAGGCGGTTGCAGTGTAACGGTTGTGGCTGTTGTTTCTGAAAGTTACAGTGACTTTGATGTCACTGCCAAGTGTTGTATTTTCTACTTGAAAGTCCATGTCGACATCAGTCCCTATCTGCAGCACAGTATCCGGGGTAGCCTCCTTTTTAATGCCATACATCAGAGCTGTCTCAAGGGCCAGTCTCTCTTCTTCTGTGCCTAGGGCAAGATGGAAATTTTGTTAAAAAAACTGAAACAGAGCCTAATTGCTAGGTTCATAATGATGCCACTGTTCCAGGGTCCAGAATGGTGTTTTCTACATGGCTGTAACAAATACCTAAAAAAAAATCCCTTATTAATATTTTGAAATGATTTTTCTTTTTAAATATGGTGCTTATGAAAGTTACCAGCTGATGGGCCAGATCTAATGCTCATTAGCGAATAAAGAGACTCCTCTTTAGCTTAACGATGTGCCCCTTAAATTTCCGGACACTCGAAGGAAGGTAGAGGACAATTTGAACAGTGGCAGGGTGGTACATGCTTCCTCACCAAACTGACCAGCTAATGTGCCTCAAAGCCGTAGTAACAAGACCATATTTATATGGAACAGGGAGTCAGTGTTCATATCCATTCTGTTCTTGGACCCTTTGCCGAGACTTCCAACTATAGTACCGGTCAGAGACTAGCAAATATAGCAAACAAAAACAAAGAAAAAAATCACTTGCAAATGTTTAATTATATTTGCCTTATTTGTTGTATGTGAATTTTTTGTCACAGAAAGACAGGATGTTCTGAACCATCATGCACGTATGGATTTGCTTAATATTTGGGCTGAAGTGTTCATTGAGCCATCCTGATATCTTGTGGATTTGGGAATCATCCAGTCATGGAGCTGAAATGCTACCGTGTCACCTTGGTCACCAATCCCACTGTGTGACTAGAAAGAATAAGTAGTGAATACTTGAAGCAATAGTCAGATAATTGCTATGGTTCATTATCGACCTAAACTCAATTGGCCAGTGGGACTTAGAAAGCAAAAACCCTGTACTCCAAACCATGCAGTACAGGACAAAACAGCTTATTTGGGATTAAAATGTTACTTTGCTCCTTCTCTGCTTCCCTAATATTACAAATGAATGGGAAAGTGTCACTAAAGTAAATTAGTAGAAGGATGGAAGAACACTATCTGCTTTTGAGAATATCTGATGTTAGATATGTGTCACACTGCTGAGGAGTTATTTTTTAGCAGTGGAAACATTAGTATGAGGAAGGTAAGGCTATGGGATCCTTGTCCCTTTTCGGTTTAAAAAAAAAAGTTATTACCAAGACACTGTATTTGGCATGGAGGAAGCCCAGAAGCAATTACTGTCATCCAATTTATGTTAGACCTTCTGTAGCGGATGAGGAAATTTAGCTAATCCCCTTTTCCCAGCTCACCACAGTTGGTTGAGTAAGAGGGGAACCTTGCCTCGCCCACTCTTGAACAATTCCTGTTTGCAGGCTCTTAAAGAAACAGTAACTAACTTTCTCCCAAATGTTACTTATTTGTAGGACTGCTTTCTCTCCACCAACACTTCTTATTTCCTAGGTCTTTGCATACTTCAGCACCTCCCAAAATTTTAAAGGGCTACGCCATGTGAACTGGAGCAGGCTGACACCACTACTTTTAAGGAGTAGTCATACTGTCACACTTCTGGAGTGGATGATGAAAAACTTGTAAAATCTCCTCTTCCAGACACACACATTGTCCATATTCATGGGGTGTATTTTTTAAATTTATTTTTAACTGTAGACAGTGGAATCCGACTAAGGGTCTGGCACTTGGATTGTGTAGGAGTTCAGCTGGGTATCATGAGGTCATCTGCACAATAATTCATGAAGCATGAATGTGTAGGTTTGCTAGTAATCTGTTATAAGAGACATTAGTAGTTATCTGTCTTGTAATAGTGCCCAAAGGTTCCAATCAGGCCTCCACTGTGATAGCCATTTTATAAAACACACAAGAAGAGACACTCCCTACCCTAAACAATTTAATGTCTAATTTACACCACATTCATATAGCTTGTATCATGTCATAAATTAACAGGAACATGGCAGTACTTGGGGGGAGAGGGAGAAAACATATCAGAGCTGAACAGCAGGCATGCAAGAAAGATGCCTTTCTCCTCTCCCACAGTAAGACATTCCTCAAAATGTTACCATTCCAGAATCCTGTTTAGAAGCTAACCTCTTGATAACAGTAAGCAGGATAGAAAGTGCAGCAAATCTTTTCAGCTGACGTAAGAGTGCTAATTGCATTTTTGGAAAACGTGACTATAATTCTTCATGGAACAAATACTTTTATGAACTGGTCTGATCTTTCAGCACACTCCTAAATGGTTCAGATAATGTTAGGCCCAAGCTGGGAGGGTTGTATTCAGTGTAAGGAATAACTAAGGAACCTATGTTGTTATTGGGAACACCACATATTTGTCACTTATGGGATAAAGGTATGGAATTTTTAAGTGGTAAAGACATGCTCTGGCATGACTGAATTGACGTGCATACCTCAGAATGGTGAAACTTTATATGGTAGGGTTCAGTATAAAGTGCTCCTCACACTCTGAATGTATTGGGCTTAATGACCCAGGCCAGATCAAGGTGGCACAAATCAGTGCAGCTCTGTTGGCATTAGTGGAACCAGGCCAGTTTACTCCAGCTGAATGTTTGGCCTTCATGTTGAAGACATGTGAATACCCAATATGCACAGTTTTGCACAAAGTATTACTTACCCTTACTAAAAGCACAAATTCCTTTTGAATTAAGTAAGTCCATCAATAGATACCCTATGTTTTCAGATATAACAACTCCTGTCCAAGGTGGCTTTGGGCGAGAGTCCAGGCAGATGTTCTTACAAAAGGATTTTTAATGTTTCTTAGGTGGAATTAAGATGCACAAAATTTTCCACCACACTTGGGGAAAGCTGCATGAGAACATGCCTCGCTAGCAATTTATATAGCAATGACAGGAGACCTATTTAAGAAAAATCTATATCAATGTCTACAACACTTTATTTTGCCATATGCAGTAAATTACCTTCCTGGAATTTGTACTGTTCAGTAATGTCCTTGGTCCCATCACTGCCAATTTCCTTGGTCAGGATTAATTTCCCAATGTGGGTCTTATCGATGTGTTCGATCACTCTAGTCCCATCTTTCATTGCTTTTGAGTAAACAATATCACTGTTCACCTATAAAATTAAGCCACAAAGCATTATGTCATCTGTTGGGTTGAAAACCAATGTGTATTCCCCTTGACTGGATGGCACAATCGTCAAGTCCTACTGGTTTCAATAGGTCGAGATACATGTCTAACATTAAGCACATATTTAAAACACCCAGCTGAACTGGGGCCCAAAACACTTCCAAAAAAAGGGTTTTTGTGAATGATAATTTAGCGATACTTAAGATTAGCCATCAGCTGGTGAAAATCAGCATAGTGCCATATATAATTGGAAACAATTTTCACCTGCAAAGAATCTGGCCCACTGTATCTTTTTTTCATCGTCAATAGCTGTTTAATAACACATTTCAGAAGAGTGAGAAATACTGGCAGCAAGCCTGATCTCTATGATGCCTATAGAGATGTTGTCCTGAGTTGAGGGGCGCCATATCATCCCAGCAGTACCACAATTGCTTTGCATTCTAGTACAGTTCCACAATATGCCACATGCCCTGACCTAAAGAGCATACAACACCACCAACAGTTGTTCCAGAGCCTGCCTGCTGTTACAGCCCTTAATGAGAGGCAGGGACTAGTGCAGACAGTGTTAGGGAAAGCAGAGGGTAACATCCTCTGATGCTCTGGTAACTGTGGTTTCATTTCAATTGGAAAAGCTTCTTCTGCTTACTACTTCAGCTAGCAGTGATTGGTGAATTTTGTAATTCACAAGTGCCATATCAAACCTACTGATGTAAATATTTTACATGGAAAATAACAGTGCAGTTCATGTATTATACCTAGAGACTGACAGGCTACGTCTACACTGGGGAGCTATTTTGGGATATTTCTGGTATATTCTGCATCTTTTGAGCAAGCCCGTTATTTTGAAATATGATAGGCTTGCTATTCCGACATCCCTGTAAACCTCACACCACGAGGACTAAGGGGCGTTTTGGAATAGCCCTCTATTTTAAAATTAACTTAAAATAAGCTATGTAATTTGCATGGCTCAAATTGAGTTGCTTATTTCGAGCCACGGGTGCAGCATAGATGCACCCTTACTGTTCCATTTGAATCACAGGGCTTTTCAAACGTAAAACCGCCATCTAGACACAGTTCTTTTTAAAAACAAACAAACCCTTTTTTTGAGGAGTATGGGATCTTTCAAAAAAGGGTTTTTTTCCCCCAAAAAACCCATGTCCAGACCACTTTCACTTTCCAAAGATCCTCTTTTGAAAGTGAGATTGGATGAAGATATGCAAATTCCTCCTTCGAAACCGCTCCCCCCCCCGTAGTTTAGATGTACCCTAAAATCTGTTTTTTTCAGGTACATACCTCTGCATAAACAAAAGGAGCATCAAATGGGAAGCAGACATGACCATGTTTAACAGCTTGAACTGAGGCAGGGCCACATCTGTACATACCTAAATAGAAAGTAGAGGGGGAAGAAAAATAAAAGGTTGAATTAGTTCTCTTTATTTTTAGTTAAAGTTGATATCTGGAATGTGCTAGATTGGGAAAAACCAACTAGCTCAAACCATTAGCTTAAAATAATACAAGAAATAGAAAGATGGGCTTATGGCATCAGGTAGAACCTCTCTCTTTAACTGCCGGCATAATATTCCAATGGTATCTGAACTGCAAATATAGCATATTACACCTGATACATGCACAGCACTGAACGTACATTTTGATTTATGTGCTAGGTGTATGAGGTAGCAATAAAACTGATCAATGATGAAACTGGAGACTTTGCTTCCATTCCTTTCAAGGCCTGGTTCTGCACTTACAAACTCTGACTGCAGTAAGACTATTTGAAGAGTGAACTATTACTCTGGGTGGTAAGAGCATCATCATTAGGCTGTCAGTATCTGCACCTGTTTTTTCTTTTTTTTAAAAAAGCTTTTACAGTGCCATTAATGGGACTCGAGCCATATTTTGCTCCCTCCCCCCAATATTTCCCTGCTCTACTTTTTGATGTTTTAACCTTAGCTTGCTCACATGTGCGCATACATGTGCATGCACGTGCTAAATTCAACTAAGGTAAGCTCATGGCACTGGCTCTTAGTTGAAACTGGTTGACATTTTCATCTACCTTTTAAAAGTGATTGGGGAAGGTTAATGAAAGGTGATGAATGGACAGAACTCAGTCCCTATTTGGCATGATTCCAGTGGAGTTACACCTGTGCAAAATTGGAGTAACTAAGTGATTCAGCCGACCCTTTGCCTACTGTTTAGTCCCTGATAAAGCACTGACATGTTGCTCCATGTTTTCCATATTGTGCCTCAATCCTTAGCCCTACATACTACTTCAGAGGTCATTCATTCCTTTCTTCTCTGCTGGGATTGTCGATGCCAGACACGGAGGCTTGTCTGCTAAGAACTGGACTGACAGCATCAACTCATTTCACACGCTGTAGACCACCGAAGAGCCACCTATTGGTAATAACTTACCGCCAGAGTTGACCTGGAAGCTAAAGGCTCCATGTTCTATTACCAACTCAGTGAACCGTCCAGTCCTAAGCCTGAAGCTATCTAACAGTTGACACAAGCTTTGCTTCACTGTTTAGCATAAGCCTCAAGTGCTGGAAGTGTCAGCTTTAACTCAAATCAACTCTTACTGAATGACAAGCTCGGAGGAGCTCAGAGTGTGAACCTAGGAAACATCGGATTGCAGCTGTCTTAAGGATAATGTTTGAACTGAGTGAAGAGGAAATTAGGAAATGTAACAGTGGTGGGGTTTCATTTTTTCTCTACTATCTAGAGAATGCAGTCTAAGGAGGGAAATTAGCATGATGGCCAATATGCTATATACACCCCAGATATATGGTTTAAAACCAATACATCCCCTTTCCCTCTTCCATAGGGCATGTCTGTTATCACAAATACATGTAATGCTCCTGAACTGGATCCAAACTCCAGTGGAGGCAACTAGAGTCCATTGATTGGCTTCAGTGATCTTTGGAGTAGGTGCCCTTTCCTGCCAGTCAGCTTGCAAGCTGGTCACAGGGTTTGTGGAAGTCAGGCATCCCATGTCTTCTCCATTTTTCCCCGGGACCACTTTAACTTCTAGATGGCCATGCTGTGGAAAAACCCACAGTCTCTCCCCCAACCTTTGTCACTATCACTGATCCTTCTTGTTGAGGCTGAAGGGAGAGAGCTGTTCCTTTACTGTAGGAGGGGTAAATAAGTGTATGGCTATGTCTAGACTACGTAGAATTTTCGAAAGAGGATATGAAATTCCACAGGATCTTTTGAAAGTGGAAGTAGTCTGGACGTGTTTTTTTCGGGAAAAAAACCCTTTTCCAAAAAAAACCGCTACTATCACTGATCCTTCTTGTTGAGGCTGAAGGGAGAGAGCTGTTCCTTTACTGTAGGAGGGGTAAATAAGTGTATGGCTATGTCTAGACTACGTAGAATTTTCGAAAGAGGATATGAAATTCCACAGGATCTTTTGAAAGTGGAAGTAGTCTGGACGTGTTTTTTTCGGGAAAAAAACCCTTTTCCAAAAAAAACCGCTTTCTTCTTAAAAAAAGGAGTTTTAAGTGTGTTTTTTCGAAAAAGGGTTTTTTCCCCCTCCAAAAATGCATCCAGACTACTTTCATTTTTGAAAGATCCTTTTTTGAAATCCCCCCCCCCCCCCCCCCCCGTAGTTTAGATGTGCCCTCAGATTATAACCATCAGTATCCAAAAGTATGAGCAACACCTATTGGGGAGGGCACTTTCGAAATCTAATTAAATAAAGTTTGTGATTTTATCAAAGTTCTTCATGCCTCATCTGCAATTTTTCTAAGTAATTTCCACTGAAAAATTCCTATCCTTCCTCTCAGTTGCACAGAATTTTTTCTTTGAGCCAGCTTTCAATAGGAAACAATAAGTAGCACCCCCTAACACAGCAATGTGCAACCCATGGATTGCACCAGGAAAAAGGTTGTGCACCACTGCCCTAACAGAACAGAAGCCAAGGTTATAGATGGGGCACGTCAAAACCTTTGGTATTGCAGAATATGAATGTGGATCTTTAACACATAATACTATATAAAGTGCATACTGCCGTGCCTAACCCAACAAGAATGGCTGAATTGTAGCACAGAGTGTCTTGTTTTCCATTGGCCAAATTCTATGCCTGCTGAGTTAACTGGTTCTTTTATATTTCTTGTGGGAAATGAGAAACTCATCTCCAAGTCCTCTCCATAGCCACGTACCTCAGTCTAAGGACTAAAATAGGCTGCATGGGCCTTGTATGCAGACATTCAAACTAGTGGATTTGTGTGGAGACAGATCCACTAGTCTCACCACACCTTGCCCTTCCTATGCATGACCCCTGTGCAAGTTCTCTGAACACTGTACGTCCCATCCTTGTGCAATGGACTCCCCACAATTCTACTCTAGTCTTCAGCTCAAAGTGGCTTAGAAAAAACCCTATATGGAGGCTAGAAGTGCTTATTTTGAACCAAATGTTGCCACAGGACTTGTTCTGGTACTCTGGCATTTGTAATCAAAAAAGGAAAAGACTGCAATGAAGATTGATCACAAAAATTGCATGCAGGGTTACCATCACTGTTTTCTTGAGGAGTACTGTCTACGACTTGCCATCCTCCAAAACCAACTGGAAGATCAGGTCTGGCCATCCATGCCTCGTTCCAGACGTGATAATTCCTTATATAGGAAAACAGACAAGAACATTCAACTCTGAAGCATACAAATAAATAGCAAAACAAGCCTGGGTATGTCTACACTACCCCGCTAGTTCGAACTAGCGGGGGAGTTTAGACATACCCGCTGTGTCTGAATGTCACACAGTTACAGGGAAACCGGCATAAGAATTTTCTGGATTAAGCAGTTTACACATTGCAGAGGACAGGTGCCTCAGGTGCCTGATGAAGCTTGATGGGGAGTGTTTGAAAGGTAGGTGTAAGCCTTCTTTGCAATTCCCTGATCCTCAAGCTCCCTGGCACAAATCCAGTGCCAAGAAGCTAATTAGTGGTGCTTCAGAGAGGCTCTAAACTGCACTTAATGCACAGGCTCCTCGAAGGAGATTCTGGCAGCTGAGGATTGTTAGTGCACAAGAATGCTCCTGCCATAACTCTTTTTTGTCAGCCATGTTCCCAAGAATAGGATCTGTGAGAAGGGTGCCTGCTAATTCTCTCTACAAGAGTATCTCTATGCAAGAGAAATCCCTAAGGGTATATCTACACTACAGCGTTATTTCGAAATATCTTATTTCAAAATAGCTTATTTTGAAATAACACATCTAGACACAAAATGCATTTTGAAATAGAGTTTTGCTATTTCAAAATAGCGTGTCCACACTGATAGGATGCTGAATTACATTTAAGGCTGGCCGGAACCAGTTCTGGAAGGGCATCAGGTCAGGAGTTAGCCTCAGGCAGCAGCCACACAAGGTATCTGAGACCTGTGCTTAAAGGGACCCCCCCTCCCCCGGACAGCTGGTTCTAAGGTTTCCCTGCTTGCTTGCCTACCTCGCTGAGGGACAGCAAAGCATTTTTTTCTCTGCGTGCTCTGGTTTCCCTCACTCAGGACACCACAGCACTCTGCAGCATGGAGCCGGAGCCATCCCTGGGCCCCGTGGTACTTCTCCTGGTTGTGTTGCTTCGAGCCCGGTAGCATGTTCTGCAGGCAGTAACAGTCTCCCTGGTGTGCCCCACTGGGGGCTTGTGCCTCATTCCTCCCTCACATCCTTCCACTTACCCCTCCCTAACCCCCTTTCCTGATGTACAATAAAAGACACACATGTTCATTACAACAAAGCCTCTTTATTGAACAAAGCTGGGGTGGGGAGGGGAATGAAACTGAGGTGAGACTGGGGAAAGAAGGTGGGAGAGGGTAGGAGGGAGGGTAGGAGAGGGGGAAACCTGGGAGGAGGGAGCCGGCAGGGGGAGGCAAAGGGAGGAAGGGGGGGAGAAGCTCAGGGCTGGGGGGTTTTGTCAGCCAGGTTCCCAAGCCATGGGTGCAGGGGCCTCGGCGTCCTTGGGGGTGTGGGGAGGGTGGGAAGGAAGAAGCGGGAGGGGAAGAAGGAGTTGGAGGAGGACCTGGGGAGGCAGCAGGGGCTGGAGCAGCAGGATGCAGCAAGCTCTGCCCCAGGGTCCATGACCACGTGGCAGGCACGGACCATCCTGCCCACCAGGATATTGTCCACGGCATCAAAATAGGGGTAGGGGTCTGGATCTGCCCCTGGTTGGGAGCTGCCCTGTGTGGCCCTGGGATAAGACTGCCACAGCTCCTTTATTTTCATGCAAACCTGTGTTTGGATGTGGCCTTTGGTGGCCAAGCTGGCAGCCATCTGCTTGTAGACGGTTGCATTCCTCTGTTTAGTGAGGAGATCATGGACGTTAGAGGCGTCCCCCCAAACCTGAATTAGGTCCCTGATCTCCGCACTGGACCAGGCAGGAGCCCTCCTTTTCTGGCCCCTGGCAGGATCCTGGGAGCTGGCAGACTGGTTCTGGGGAGCAGTGGAGGGCTGGCTGGCACTGGCTGCCTGGCTCATGCTGGGGCCACTGGGTCAGGTGCAGCAACTGCTGGCTCTGGGCTGGCAGGTTTGGAGCTGGCACAGGCACTGTGGCCAGAGTCTATCCCTTTAAGGGCTCCTGGGAGAGGGGAGGGAGAGGAGTTTTCTTGGTTGTGTCTAGAGTGGCCACCAGGGCACCCTGGGAAGGGCTGGAAGCCCCCTATTTCGAAATAAGTGTCTACACAGCGCTTATTTTGAAATAGCAATTTCGAAATTGGCGCTATTCCTCGTGGAATGAGGTTTACCAATTTCAAAATAAGCCCTCCCACTATTTCAATTTAATTTTGAAATAGCGGTTTGGCTGTTTAGATGCTGGTAAAGTTATTTCGAAATAACTTTGCTGTGTATCCTAACTGTGCATTTATGCTGGTGTTAATACTGCTGTCTACCTCTTGAATGGTACAAAGCACACTTAGCTAGGCTGATGACTCAGTATATCTTAAATGGAGTTTTCAGACTGACTGTACAACTGGCAATATGCACAACTATGTTCATTTTTATGGTTTAAAAAACCCCAAGCTTGTCTGGTTACTATATAAAATTGCAGGTTTATTAATTGACCTTGCACCGGATACAATAAAAATATTTCCCTAACTCCTTATGACTGATTTCTGAAAGCCTCAGACCAAAGATTAAACTAGTTGCATTAGGATGATGCGGAGCTGGGAGGAGTTGCAAGTGTTTTTGAGGATAAGGTCATTATGAAAATTGATCTGGACAACCTTGAGAAATGGTCTGAAGTAAACAAAATAAAATTCAAGCAGACCACTAAGGAAGGAAAAATCAGTTGCAGAATATGGGAAATGACTGGGAGGGAGTACTGAAGAACGGGACTGGGAATTATAAGAAGTCACAAGCTGCATATGAGTCAACATTGTAACACTGTTGCAAAGAAAAAAAGCAAACATCAATCTGGGATGTAATAGCAGGAGTGTCATAAGTAAGTCATGAGAAATAGTTCTATGTTATTCCGCACTGTTTAGGCCTCGACTGGAGTATGATGTCCACTTCTGTGCACCACTCAAAAGATGTGGAGAAATAGGAGAAAATCCAGAGAAGAGCAGCCAAAATGATTAAAAATCTAGAAAACATGACCTATAAAGGAAGACTAAAAACCTGTGTTTGTTTAGTCTGGAGAAGATAAGCCTGAGTGGGGACATAATGATAGTTTTCAAGTACATACCAAGTTGTTGCAAGGAGGAGGAAGGTAAATTGTTCTCATTCAACTATGAGGCTAGGACAAGAAACAATAGGCTCCCATTGCAATAAGGGAGGTTTAGATTGGACATTAGGAAAAACTTCCTCTCAGGGTGGTTAAGCACTGAAATAAATGGTTTTGGGAGGCTGTGGAATCTCTATCATTGGAGTTTTTTTTTAAAGCAGGTGAAACAAACACTTGTCAGGGATGGTCTAAATGGTGCTTAGTCCAGCCGTGAGCACAGGGTACTTAACTAGATGACCTCTCAAGGTCTCTTCCAGTCTTCAAATTCTCTGATTCGGTGATTAGGTCTAACTTTATAAGCTAAAACTAGTCCTAGCTCTCTTAGTTTCTAATTAGTTTACAGCCTCAGGTGAGGCAGCTGCCCAAGTGAGAGTTCATATCTCTACAGGCAAACAGCAGATCTCCATAGGGACATAGGTATGCACCCCCTGGATTGAAGTGGTTTCCAATATACACAGGCTTTACAGTCTGGTTCAATGGCTCTCAGCATCCCCACTATACAATTTGTTGTAGCACCCCTGCCAAGGGGTTTTATGAGCCATGTGTTCAAAGGCACATAAGTGGTTAATCTCAGCACTGAGACATCAAATGCCCTCTTTTGGCTGGAGGCTAGAAAAACACCACCATGTCATCTCATTTACAATCTGTTCAGAATCTTTCAAAGATAAAGAGACATAAAAAGAAAGATGGCTTTTTTAACTTTCTTTCTGAGATTTTATTAGCGCTCCAGAGAGAGAGCACAAACAAGGAAGGAAAAAAAACAAGTCAAGTTTCTCGCAAGAGCTTCAAGAGTCAACCAAGTATTTGAATTCCATTAGTGCCAAAATGGAGGAGGAGAAAGTACCAATTTGCTTTGCAAATTATGTGTATCCTGCCAGCAGATATGAATAAAATTGCATCTCTGTGTAGCCACAGATATTTCCCTAATGCCTGCAATATTAGCAATAAAATTGTAGCCAGAATGGATTGCTAAACTCCGACTATTTCATTAATAATAGGTGAAAAAACAGAAAGGAAGAGGAGTCAGTGGGATCTGAGGCTTGTCTAACAAGACATTTCAAAGTAGAAATAAAAGCTTGGATCAGGGAAAAACTTGTCAGTTAGGAGAGTTAATGAAGCAGGACTACAGAAAAAGAATTATTCAAGAAAAGTGACGCACACAACTAGAATTTTTGATATTGCTGAGTGCTGCGTACTGAGTCATTCTCTCAGTGCCTTTGGTGAACCAGTCTTTGGGAGGTACGTTTTTGAAAATTACGACAATGCCATGTGAGAAGAAGCAATCTTTGCCATGAAGCAATTAAAATCCATCTTCGAATCAAACTCAAATGTTATTGGCTTTTTATATGACAAAAGGCCAGAATGTAAACAAGAGCAGGAAAGGGAACATGAATGAAACTAATCTTATTCGATGAGTAGACACTGCAACGTAATATCTTCATGGTAAGTTCTTTGTGTCAGGGACTGTCTTTTTGGTTTTGGTTCTGGTTCGTATAATGCTTGGCACAATGGGATTGAAATTTACATGTGTTTCTGCAATACAAATGATAAATAAGCATGATGGCACTGAGTGGGGATAGATAGATATTCACTTGTGCTGGCCCAGCTTTTGGAGGGATTTTCAATCCCGAAAATGTAGCCTAACTTCCTTCCAGCTACAAATCACAGTGGGCCACATGCTTGGCTAGTGCAAGTAGGAACTGTTCTGTTGACTTCAGTGGGGCTATGCCCCCTGATTGGCAGCTGAGGACCGGCCTCTCTATTTTTATGTCCAATTTTTTAAACTGAAGTTGTAGCTTTTATACTCAACCCTGCCAGAGACATTAAGGAATGATGGAATTACTCTACAGATCAATGCAGGGATCATAAAATATTTACAAATATAATTACTAATAGATCAAACAAAGTGATAGAAAAATTAATAAAAGATGATCAGGAGGGTTTTGTGTCTGGCAGACCATTTAAGAAGAGTACTTTGCAGGGCTCAGATGATTAGGGATATATTGGAAGAGAGGACATTAGGACCAAGTATGGCACTAAAGACCTCTCTTTCACACCGCAAGGAATTTGATTTTAGAGTGAAGAGAGGGTGGAGCATGGAAGAATCGGAATTCAAAACTTTACAAGGGATCTCTAGTAAGTCCTTCATCCTACACTGAACTTTGCATGAAAGAAGCCCCTACACCAACATGGACTCCCTCCCATAAACTTTAACAGAACACTGCCTGACAGGAGTTCATACTAGGATCAAGGCATAATAGTAGGATCCACGTCCAGGTATATCCTGTACATGTATATAATTAAAAGAAAGGAGTGAAGTAAGGAGAAGCAGTCAGTAATGATGGCCCCACAGCTGACCACGTTTTTAAAAATAACTTTTGGCAACATCTATGTAATTCTCTATTCATGTTTTCATCCTGGAATTTACTTAGAAATAAGTAAAGGCCTGTCAGATACCAGGCACTTGAGTGCAGCCCCACATCGAGAGATGTCTAAATAAAAATCCTGGATCCAGAAATCCCTGAATTCTGTGGGGTAGTTGAAAAAGTCAACTGATATAAACCTTCATAAAGGAAAAAGAATCTAAATGTCAGTTACCTAGGGGTGTGAGGGCACATCAATATTAAAAAAAAATTCTTATAAATATCTTGGAAAATGTCCTCTTAAAAATAAAAAACCTACACTGAAATAATGCCAAAGACGAGACACAAGTATAAGTTAGAGCTACTATAGAGTGGTACAAAGTAATGAAGAGAAAGGACACAGAGGAGAAATGGAAAATGCTGTAAGATAAATTAATGTGCGCCCAAGGGATTATGTGCACCATGTAGCAATAAATACATTATGAGGAGAAAGGCATGAACAAAGAAGTTCCCAAAGTAATCAAGACAAAGAAAGAGGTATATAAAATGTGAGGTGTACAACACTGTGGGCCCATTCCTCAGCTCGCAGACTCCTTGACATCAGTGGAGCTTCATCTATTTACACTAGCTGAGAATCCGTCCCTAGCCTCAGAGGAAAAATGGAACAATTATTGAATGAAGTGAAAAATCCTGAAAAATGGTAGGGAAATGAAAAGGTGGGGGCAGAAAAGGAAAAATTCAGAAGTGGGTAAGACAAATGTGCCTTTGTTTACAT